TTATTCAACACTTGCTCTTGTAAAGCACCCCAGCCTAAACACTTTCAGCCCAGGTCGCTCGGGGCTCCATGAGGGTACAATACTACCTCTCTTTTTTACTATCACATGGTAAAAACTTTTTTTCCGAACGAAAACGCATTCCATTCCTTTGATTACCCTACGTGACTTTGTTTTTACTCCTGACCGAGCGCACCCCACCACGACCTACGGTTACGAGCAGCTGAGCCTCATGGGCCATGCCTAGGTTCTTAAAAGTTGCAGCCTACGGAACGAATGGGCAGGTGCAAAAAAGAAAGGATAAAAACAAAGATATGCTAGGATAAAAAACAAGGAACGGATAGTGATTCTATCACAAAACAGAACTGATGTATTCATTGATACAAAAAACTATTCACACGGGGGCTCCCCCATGAACTTAATGATTACATTTGCTGACTACTTCTACTCCAAATACTATTGTGGCCACTCGGCGGCATCAGCTGATGCCAAAGGAAAGGCCACGGCACATGTCGTCGGACATAACCACCGCCGCAAGGGCCCGCCCAGTTCTGCTCCCTCGACTTCGGCGAGCGCAACGGGTACCTCAAGGGCCCTGCCCGATTTCGCTCCCTCGACTTTGGCGAGCGCAACGGGTACCTCAAGGGCATCGCACCCATAGATGCTCAGCAGAAGAGCATGGAGCTCCTAACCTTCTCATGCAGTCGAGGCAGCTCCTGTGCAGGAACGCTGCCCATCGAGGTATGGCCGCCGTGGCTGGAAGATATCTCATCAAACTTTATGAACTGGCCAACCTGAGCAGCTACAAGGGCAAAACCTCCCACCGGCGCAGTCCCGAGCGTCTTCCTCTCCGACAAGGATCGCCCGGAGAAGACTCACCGGAAGGAGTCCACGTGCGGCTCCATCCCGACGAAAGCCTCGTAGACGGTGATGAAGCCGGTGACGTGCAGTACCCTCCAATGCGCCACCTCCTTCGACGAAAGCAACCCTTCTCGGCGAAGGCGACCAGCACCACCTCATCTACGCTAGATGACCTCCAGCTCGACATTGAGCTCCGAAATCACGAACGGGTCTGTGAGTTCTCCTTTCCCTCTCCCTTCCCCTATTTAAGGAGGAGATGCAGCAGTTGAAGAAGGGCAAAGGATTAGGGCGAAAAACCCTCTCCCTTCCCCCATTCAATGCAGATGGGAAACGATGGGACGCGCCCTGACCGATGGGACGCACCCTGATCGATGGGATGCACCCTGCCCGATGGAATGACCCCTGGTCAGACGGGACGTAGCCCAAGTATGGCCCACCACTACCGCATGACTAGGCGCAAGAAACAAAGCGCCACCACGCGCAGGCAGCCCTCCGCCTTCCCAGATGGAACTTGGAAAAGCCCAACTATGGGATCTCCACCCAGGAGAGACCATCGGGCTTCCTGAGTCAATTGGACGGCTCAGGAAAACGCCAAGAGACAGGTAAGGAGCAATGGGATGCCCCATGTGGGCCATGCCGACTCCGTCACGAACGACGAGCGTGGATCCCGGTCGGACATTTCCGATTGGAGCTCTTCAAACCCCATCACTCGAATCATCAAGGTAACATTACCAACCCCCACTATTTCTTTATATAATCATTCATTCATCTATACACGCATTCATTCATTCCATACATCCGAGGCATTGCATATGCAGTTAAATGCATCACAATGCTCCGGGTTGCGTCACGAAGCGGCAGTTGCCTCATTCAACATGAGCAATGACCTCGCGTCAAACAAAGCCAGGGGAGAAAACACATATGAGCCCCGAGCAGCCCTCGCCCAGTCTGCCCTGAAGCAGACAGGGTCATCTCAACCTTCTCGTTCGATCCTAACCTCTGCCAAACCCGCAGAATCTCCATCGAGGGGAGGCCAGCAGGCCACCCGGGTCGGTCTCCGGAATGACCTAGGCATTTGCCGAGTTGCAGGTTAAGGAGCAGTGGAATGTCACATGAGGGCTATGCTGACCCCGTCACGAATGACGGACCCACACCGAGAGCGTCACTCGAGCCATCGAGGCAAGCAACGTTAGCTCAGCCCCTCCGGTTGCGAGAAACCGCGGATGGGGTAACACACAAAACTCAACCGACCCCTACCAAACCCAACAGGGCTCAGGGGCTCAAGACACCTAAAAACTGCCTCGACATGCCCGATGCCAGGATCCACGACTCCGTCTTGCCTGATCCCTAAAACTGCCTCGGCTGCGCCCGACGCCAGGATCCGTGACCCCGTCTCACCCGATCCCTAAACTGCCTCGGCTGCGCCCGACGCCAGGATCCGCGAAACTCCATCCCGCCGGATCCCTAAACTGACCGCTGACAAAACCCCTCGGGTGATTCTGACCGAACCGCCCGAGGGCTCGGGGGCTACACCCGCGGGCGCGCTCGCGCGCACCCGCTGACGAAACGAAACTTCCCCTGCTAGCAAACATGAAAAAACCCCAGACCATTCTACCCGAATCGCCCGGGAGCTCGGGGGCTACACCCGCGGGGTGCGCTCGCGTGCACCCGCCGTCAAGACAAAAAACCCCCAGACGATTCCACCTGAATCGCCCGAGGGCTCGGGGGCTCCTGTCGGGTTCATAAACCCGGGGTCCCTTATAGGCCGGCTTCCCAACAAAGGCTCGGCCCAGCAGACGACGTTGCGAATGACGCGCAACTCTTGGGCTGGCCCAAAAACCTAAACGACAGGCCAGAAGGGTGATCCAATCTCCGACCGGAAGGCCTAGCCGAGGAGGAACGGCGCCTGCTTCCGACTCCGGCCCGCCTCTTCGACCGGAAGGCCTCACTAAGGAGGAACATCGCTCGCTTCCGACTTCGGCCCGCCTTTGGATGGCCTCTCCGACCGGAAGGCCTGGCCAAACACCACTTCCGACTGCGACCAGCGTCTCCAACCGGGATGCATCAACCCTCGCTATACTCTTCTTCGATCAAGCAATCGAGCCGACTGGGACCAACCGACTGGGGACGTCCGCTCGGTAAGGACCAAGAAACGGATGGAGAAAGTAAGGCAGGGTACTCAAGTCAACCGTAATACCGAGGACCGTACCCTGTACACCTGCAGGATAGTATCGACAGGACATGTCAGAAGAGTGACCTGCAACCTTCCAGGCATGTCCGAACAGTGTTGTGGGCGCCGACATTTTCCCTACAGTGTTGTGAGCGTCCGCAACAACTGCCATACCGGACGAGCACGGTAAGACCCCTTGCATGCCTCTGGGCATCAACAGTATGGCAGGCACCGACGTCTGCCATACCAGAAGAAGACGACGCAACCTCCCACATGCATCTTACATTAACAATGTTATGGTCGCCTACAATCATCTTGTACGCGCCTACAATCATCTTGTACCCGACGGCGTGGGCAACAAGACTCAGCATACGTACACTCTCTCCCTCTCACTTGTAAGACCATCCCCTTTATCTATAAAAGGGGATGCGCGCTCTCCCAACAGGGAGATCACCTTAGTTCACTTACATTAATTCACCTTCTGTAACTTTAGACACTCTAAAGTTATACAGAGCACACGCTCGAACACTTAGCACATAGCAGAGCTCCCGTCACTCTCGATCCTTCAGACCAGAGTCCGACCGGACCTCTTGTACCTCTCATCTTTCTCCCTTCCATTTGTAACCTCACAGTAAACTTCGAGCACCTGGGCTCAGGAATAAAGTCACCGACCGACCCAAACTGGACATAGGGCACGTTGCCTGAACCAGTATAAACCTTGTGTTATTGAGTGCTAGGCCACCTCTGATCACAACGTACAACAAAACTACAAATATTTACGTGTTGGTCACTTTCTGCACCGACAGAAAGGCAAGTCCAACTATGACAAAGAAGACAAGAGCATGAGCTTCAAGAAGAAGAAGAAGAGCCATGCATATTGTGTTGAGTGGGATTTCGATGCTTCCTCAAGTGAATATGATGATGAGAAGACACCTTCTAAATCACTTGCAGGCATCACCAACAACAAGAAGCCTTCTCTATTTGACACCATCGCACAGATTCACCGCAATTGTCTGGCGTCTATTCACCGGGGTCACCGCGGGAACCTGTGCTTGCTAGGTGCCTCTCGACCCTCCATATGAAATTAGTGTTTACGTTAGCTACTAATTAGGGCATCCAGAGTGTGGAAATTTGATCGGCTTTAAAAACAATGTCACATTTTTTAGGTCACCCTTAAATGTTACAGGATTGGCTTTAGGCGCAAAAAGCTTGTGCTGAGTCTCAAGCTTGAGACCCAACATTACCAAAGCAAATAACAAAAAAACTGAGGAGCCACTGTCATCTACATGCCCCGCGAGGCCGAGAAAGTGAGAGGGAACACGGAACAAGAAGCACATGATTGACGGCGACAAGAACCACACAACTTCCTGATGCCCTTAACCTTTAGAGAACAGGCTGGGTTGTAGCATTCAGTACAGTAATTGGCTAATTTCGAAACTTTGCAATATGCAATTGAGAACACATACTGTTTCGTACAGTGTCAACTCTCCTTTTCGTGCCCTAGGTTCAGAAAACGTGGAGCTCATAACCACGTTGTTTAGAGTTTTTGCAAGATGTTTACAGTTTGATAATGCTTTTAATTAACGTAACGTTTTGTAGACATCACCTACAGCAGCCTTCAACCAAGTTGTTCCTCTTGTTTCAACAAGACAGCAGAGCATGGATGCAGAATTCGGTTTGGTTGTTTGCGCATGATTTGTGTCTGCTTTAGTTTGTTATCGCTAGTACTTAGTAGAGGAAAAGCTCTCTTGTTAAGTATCCCTCAGACGATACAAGATGCCATTTCTGGGAAAACAAACCCATCCCTATTCACGGTTTGTTGACCTGCACCCAATGACTACGCTACAATCCTAGCCCCAGGGAATCAAAGAACAGCATGCAACCATCACACATCACATACAATTCCCAAAAATTAAAACATATACTTGGCCATGATTACCACTTTGATCACTAGAAATTACGTCCTGCCTGATTAGCTCCTGGAGCAAATCAATGCAAGGCCCACCTTAACCAGCATTGAAGCTTTACTTACAGGCTGCCACAGTAATTAGATAAATACTCCATATATTATATATAACATTAAGTTGCAAGTAGAAACACCAAAAGCGCTTGCCACGATGTAACTGTTTTTCCATGTCAACAGCTCACAGCAACTTCCTGCACCTTAGCGACAATGTTTCCTAGCCCCATCACTCCAGCCTCCTGCGCATCCTGCGATTTCTGCAACAAGTACACAGTTTCGAATTACATATATAGAAAAAGTCGGCAGGGCTTCTTTATGTGTTTCTCTAGAAAAAGAAAACAATTCGATTTCTACTAGGCTGCATTGACACAGTGTCAGCACAGTTCACTCAAAGTTACTACCGACAGTCACCGAGTTCATCCTAATATAAAGCAAACCAATGGTTGTGATGCAATGCCAGAGAGTATTTGCTTGTAAATTACGACGCTAATAAACTTCAAAGAGTGAAAATGAACTGTGAGCCCCTAAACTTTTCCCATATTCTCATATGGGTCCATAATTCTCAAGTTGATTATCTAGGTCCTTCAATTTTTCAAGTGGTTCATTCAAAGTGGGAACTTAGGGTGTGTTTGGTTGAGCTATGGCTGTGGAAAAAAACTGTTGTGGGCTGTGAGCTGTGGGAAAGCTGCTGTAGGCTATGAGCTGTAGAAAAGCTGAAAGTTGTTTGGTTAAACAAGTATAAAATATACCTTCTATTTTTATCTCTCTTGAAACAACTATGGAAGAGCTTTTTATTCCACCAATTTCGAAAAGCAGAAAGCCAAAAGCCAAAAGCAGGGTCAAACCAGCTTTCAAAAATGTACTACGGAAAAGCAACTGCTTCTGAAAAAGCAGCCTCCAAAAGCAGCCCCTTTGGTTGGGCTTTTGGCTTTTGGGGCCAAAAGCCAAAGCCAAAAGCCCAACCAAACAGACCCTATAGGTACATGTCCTTCAATTTTTCAAGTGGTTCATTCAAAGTGGGAACTTAGGTACATGATTGGAGCTAGAGTGAACTTAGAATGAACTACTTGAAAAGTTGAATGAACCTAGATGAGCATATGGGAAAAGTTGAAGGACTCACCGTACATTTGACTCAAATTCAAATATTACTATGATGGCTATACAAGAATATGCAAAACAAACATAGTCCGGCATTTCATGGGAAGTACTTCGGTGTACATATAATATACAGGATAATGATCTGATAATATGCACAACAAAAACATTTTTTGCTTTATTTCATAAAAAACACTTCAATACTAAGTCACTGGAGTTCACAAATTTATAATCAAATCATTAACATTCATTATCAAGAATATCAGTATATTGGTTTAAGGTTAGAAGCAAGCTATTAGACAGGGTCCCAACCACCTAATTCTGTATTTTAACATACTCTACTATACTCTTGCTCTAACCCTCCATTGTTGATCAACCTAGAAACCCTTGCTGTTCTCATGGACAGAGTTGTCCCAACAGGGAAAATGAAACCATAAGAAAAAAATGATTCAAATATAGATTTTTCTAGAGGAAAGGAGTGTACCAACCCAGGTCCAATTGTTGAATGGTGGTTTTCCCTTTTATCACTAGATTTTATTTTTATTTTTGGCCACTGCATAGGTTTTGAGCCCATGTTTAAATTAGAGAAAACAGTGGGGCAAATGAAAGAGATTTGAAAGCTTGGGATATACCAAGAGATCTATGTTTGAATATGAGTACTTGGAAAGCAGCTATTGAAGTGGCTGAACCGTGACTTGGGACTCTTGGTGGGTTTCAACTCTAGCCTACCCCACACCTAGTGGCCTCTGGCAAGGATATCCCAAAACTATCATATATACAACACTGGTTTACCCTCATGGCAGTAAAATGAGGAAGGCAAAACATCAAAACAGCACAAGTAGAAATGACAAGCAAGTTCCTCTACTGATTTCCTTCTCAGGTAGCCATGTCTGCCACTAAAGCTCTAATACAGATTGCATTGCATACATATGGAATATGATAGATCGTGTGTTTAACTATCTAGAGTTGCACGCACATTTGCGATCTCGAGAAGAGCTAAGTAACACTTCTATAAAGTTCCTAGTTCTTTCCTATTGGAGTACTTAAGCAAACAACTGTTCCCTCCATCCTGAAATATAAGGTTTCGAATCATTCAAAATTTGCCTCAAATTACAAGGGATTCTAGTGAATTTAACTCCCCTAGGCACAACCATTAATGTCTGTTGTCAACCCAACCACCAAGCTCGAAATATGGTAAGCACAGTATCTCCCTACTTTTAAAGAAGTTAAATGATTCATCTACTTTACCCCATAAAATGTCTTAGAATCCTAGGATACCTTCTACTTCAGGACAGAGGGAGTATATAAGGATTATGAAGAGGATCAGCACTAAATTTTACTGTAACGGTGATGCTTGTATTACCTCCACAATTGACATCACACAAAGAGAAATAAAAGCTTAAAAGCTTACAACATAATGTAGCTCATAAGTAATGGAGAGCTCCTTGCGGGAGATTCCTACCTGAATTGAGGGTAACTCAAAACAGACATAATTCCAGTAATCAACTAACTTGTGATCTTTTGGAACCACTTCATTTGCCCTTCCAGCACAAAAGATTGCATAAGCATCAGCCGCATACCTAGAGTAAGAGGCAACATTCAAATTAATAACTCGACAGGGCAAAAAACAGCATTCTACGAATAGTCCACATACACAGAAGAGTTTAGGGGGGGTGGGGGTAGGAGGGGGGCCGACTCACTTGCCGACACCACAAAGCTCAGTGATATAGGTCCATTCTTCCCCAACATAAGCCTTAGAGAATTTCTGGATTCTGTTTGTTTTCACACGCTGCAATCCAAGAGGTGCTAGATACTTTGCCATCTTTTCGGGATCAGCTGTATATGCAGTCTGAGGATCAGGATAGCGCTTGAAGAAGCCCTTCACTTTTTTCCTGACCTGCAGCAGTAAACAAAGAAAATTCAACCCTTGAACCCAAAGAATGTTCCACCAGGGCAACAGCAAACAGGGGAATAGCCTTGGTAATAATAAATGCAAATGCGAAACACCTAGTTGAATTAGCATTGCAATAAAAGCACACTAGATAAGTAATTTTATGAGCGCATAAATCATCAGGGTAATAAATAGTCTTCGTAAAAATAAACAGATGTGAAACGCCTATCTGAGCCAGTGTTACGCTTAAAACGCATAATAAACTAGCCTGTTCTGGGCTGCAGTATAATAATCCATAAAGGATTGGACCCAAACATGCATGTGCAGCGTATCTATAACAAGTGGTCCACTGTTCAAGTTTGTTTGTCAATCCTATGCGCACTGTGCAAACATATAATCGATCATCTTGTATCAAAGAAAGAAGTAGGCGCAGACAACCATTATTAAACCACACATTTATCATGGAAACAAAAGTTAGTCTCTTTCTCTTTGACAATCATGAAAACTAAAGGGCAGACCCAGTGCCGGAGGCTCCCACATGAGTGGGGTCTGGGGAAGGGAAAAAATGAGGCAAGCCTTCCCCCCCGCAAAATCTGCGGAGAGGCTGCTTCGAACCCACGACCTAGTGACTCAGTGAGACAGCTCTCACCACTGCACCAGGCCTGCCCTTCTTTGACAATCATGAAAACTGTTCTGATGAATCAAGCAGCTGACTGTGAATCTAGATAATTGTTTGGTCAAGTAACATTCACAGAGATGACACAAAGTAGAAAGAATTGAACAGCTCACCTGTTTTCCCTGTGTTAAGTTGAGGAGCATGCATATTACAATGACCTTCCAGGGGTCAGAAGCATAATTCTCCTGCAATAGCTTATGGGGGGAGCACGGTGGGGGCACCAGCTGATCCAGCGACAGGCGACGGTATTTATCTGAACGCTTCTCGGCAGCACTAAGTAATGGCAGTGGCTGCCTTGGCTTTTTCTCCCTTGTCATCTTCTTCTCAGGCTTCTCCATCCCTTTGACCCTTACCCCTTCTTGTGAACCTGAGGTTGATGCTGAGGCTGGGCATGGTTGCATGGTGTTCGAGGTTGTTGTCCTGGCAGCCTTGGAGGCCTCTTTTGCAGTAAGCAGAGAAGAGCCAGATGACGGGTGGCCTCGAGGAGGCTGCCTCGCTGGGAGATCAGCGGTATTAGGAAGTGGCGGACCATTGCCATCTTGCCGGCGATCAGGTTTGTAGGCGAATTGAGCAAAGAATGCACCAAAAGGTGAGGAATAATTGGGATCTTGATCAATGGAATTGGGATCGGCCATGGGAGGGAAAAAGCCTTGGGGCAGTGGCTGCTGCTTCTTCAAGACCCGGGACTTCTTGCTGCTGCTCCTCTTGACACACTGACTGCCCATGACGCCACCAGCAGAAGCAGCTTCTTCCCCTCCCTGTGGATGGACATCAATGGGAAATGGTGGCTGGCCAGATTGCTCCTGCTCCACCTTTCGCCGCCTATGCTTCTTCCTCAACGTCGCCCCCTCTGCCGTCACCTTGCTTTCCCTCTGCAAGATTTGGGCCACAGCAGCAGTGGGCGGCGATGGAATCACCACTGCAGCCTCCCCATTTTTCCTTTTCTTGCGCTTCTTTTCCTCCTTCCGCACAGGCTCCTCCATTAATGGAGATGCCGGCAGCACCTCCTGATTCTTCCTCTCGCGTTCCTTAACCTGCCTCAGTGCCACCGTTATCATCTCTGCCGAGGTTAGGGTTTCAGGAGAGACTGGGACCAGGGAGTCGGACCTGTATTCCAGGTTTGCCAGAGGACAGGGAGACTCCCTCACCGCCATCTCCCTTGTCATCTTATTCTCGGGCTTTTCCTTCCGTTTGATCCTTACCTCTTCTTGTGAACCTGAGGTTGATGCTGAGGCTGGGCATGGTTGCTTGGTGTTCGAGGTTGTTGTCCTGGCAGCCTTGGAGGTCTCTTTTGCAGTGAGCAGAGAAGACCCAGATGATGGGTGGCCTTGAGGAGGCAGCCTCACAGGGCGATCAACGGTATTAGGAAGCGGCGGACCATTGCCATCTTTCCGGCGATCAGGTTTGTAGGCGAATTGGGCAAAGAATGCACCAAAAGGTGAGGAATAATTGGGGTCCTGATCAATGGAATTGGGATTGGCCATGGGAGGGAAAAAGCCTTGGGGCAGTGGCGGCTGCTGCTTCAAGACTGGGGACTTCTTGCTGCTGCTCCTCTTGACACACTGACTGCCCATGACGCCACCACCAGCACCAGCTTCTTCCCCTGCCTGTGGATGGACATCAATGGGAAATGGTGGCTGCCCGGATTGCTCGTGCTCCACCTTCCGCCGCCTCTGCTTCTTCCTCACCGCTGCCCCCTCTGCCGTCACCTTGCTTTCCATCTGCAAGTTTTGGGCCACAGCAGGAGTGGGCGGCGATGGAATCACCACTGCGGCCTCTCCATTCTTCCTTTTCTTGCGCCTCTTTTCCTCCTTGCGCACGGGCTCCTCCATTAATGGAGATGCCGGCGGCGCCACCTGATTCTTCCTCTCGCGCCCCTTAACCAGCCTCACTGCCGCCGCCCCCATCCCCGCCGCGGTTAGGGTTTCGGGAGCGACTGGTACCGGAGACTCGGATTCCGGGTTTGCCAGAGGTCGGGGAGACTCCCCCGCCGCCGCCGCCGCCGAGGTTAGGGTTTCGGGAGCGACTGGGACTGTGGACTCGCGCTTGGATTCCGGGGTTGTCGGAGGTCGAGGAGCCTCCGAGGAAGCCGCTGTGGCCTCCTCCTGCTCCCTGTGCATCTTCCTCATCCGCTTCTTCTGCCGCGACGCCAGCACCGGCACCGCCAGCGCCAGCACCGGCGATAAGAACCAGGCGGGGCGGATCGAGACGGGGACCGCCTCAGCACTCGGCGGCGGGATTGGAAGTGAGGCCTCTCCTTTCCACCATCCCGGATTGGGAAGCAGCGAATGAACGGCGGAAACGCGAAGAAAATGGGGAATAGAAGAAGGAAGCCAAAACACCCACAATTATTTTTCGCGGGAAACTCCGCTGATGTTGCCGCCAAAAAAATATACTGTATATGTATCTAATTAGAATAATAGAGTAGATGGAAAATTAATTTTAGTACAGTGGAAAAGACTTTTTTCGCACCACCAAACAGTAAACATTTTTTTCAAGGAAAAGAAGAACGGCTCGGTCTCCCTTCTATGCAAATAATTATCACATGAAATTCTCCATAGAGGAACATAACCTCTTATTAAACATTCATTTATCCTTACAAACTTATAAATAAAGATATTAAAATAGTGTGATTTTGTGGTTCTCTGATTTTTTAAATGTAACCTTTCTATATAGTGTTACTTTCATAATAATTGCCAAAAAAATGAATTCTAAAAGCTCATTAAATTAATACTTCATCTGTTTTTGACTTATAAGTTGTTCTAGCTTGGTTTAATTTTGTCCTAAGTTGAACTTATCTAATTTTGAACAGAGAAATATTCATCTTTTGATTTTCTATCAACTTGATCAAAGCTGTAGAGTCTGACTTAGGATAGAACAAATTTCTTATTATTTGAAACAGATAAAGTACTGTTAAAATATTTCTCTTTTAGAAGAAACGTGTTATTAGAAATTTAATAGTTTATTGAAACTATTACACCACACAATTAAGTTGAACTTTTTATTTGACTCTGTATACTCTGGGTCTCTAAATAAATTAATTTATAGAGTTATCTTAAATCAAATATTTTCAAGTTTGATTAAATTTGTAGAAAAACACAACAACATTTAAGATATTAAATTAATATATTATAAGAGTATTTTTTTCATAGCGTATCTAATCATATTAGTTTGTGTAGCACCCGGTCTTAAGAACAAAATCAAATATATGTGAGTCTAGGAAGTCAAATCTCATATATAGCTACAAATAAGGGTAATATCGAAAGACAATACTCAATATATAACGTACCTAGTATAAAGAATATAACTATATTTAGCAAACAACGAAAAGATAACTCCGATCTTCGGGTGAAGACTTCAATTCCACAGGGACAACTCACTAGTTGATCGCAAGCCTAATTCCTCCAAACTCTAGCAATCTGGTGCTCATCCGAAATTTTTTCCAAAGATTTAAAAAGTAAAGCAAGTGTAAGTATATGTCATACTCAACAAATATAACATGGGGTTCATGGGGCTCAAAAGGCTGACACTGGTTTAACTGCGATTAGCTTTTAACGAGTCATGATTTTAAGCAATTGAGTAGCATTAAACTTATCATAAGCCCGTATAAACACATGACCAGGTAAACATGAATAATGAATAGCATAAATAGTATTTATTAGTGAGCATCTTCATCATCAGTATCATCTGTGTTCATCATCTATTCCGTAAAGGTCCAAGGTCGCTCGTGACCAAGAGCACGGCTGATATACCAGTTTTACACTCTGCAGAGGTTGTACACTTTCACTGTGAGTCGTGATTTACCCTTTCGTCCGAGGTAGCTAATCTCTTGACCCACTTTCAAGGAAGGTCGGTAGGGTTCACTATGAAGCCTTTCAAAGGTTCGCCTAACAAGTTAGGGCCGCTAGGTTTCTATGCCCTGCGAATGTAGGGCTCCCCTTCTGCCAGGCACAATAACGCGCAGCCTATACACTGACGGACAGAGGCCGCACTATATCCAACCCAAAACACACCCCTCTTGCGTCATAAAGATAACATCTAACAAGCTAGAAAAGATCCTCATACTGAGCTAAAGCCAGAGCCATGTAGCCCTCACAGCTGTACTGTAAGTCCCAGATATTTGCTTACAGATAAGTCCTTAGGGAGATAAATCTATAGCACCATAAAAATAGCCCAATGCTCTAGCCCCCTTATCCCATGTTGCTAAAAAGCATCTTTTAGTGTTTATTGCATAATTCATTAGTCAAATTACAAGATCATGACTTTAGTTGAGCACTAGCATCATACTACCCAATGCAATGACCCATAGGTATCAAGATACAAGTACGAAAGACTAAGATATCCTTAGTGGTAGTCAAGGTAGACACATACAGCATGAATTAAATGATTAAACGTGTATAGGACAACAAGGAAGATCCTATGCTATACTTGCCTTAAACTCATATCCTTCTTCGATTGAATTGTAACCTCCAAAGGACTTCTTCTAGATCATCAACTTCTTCTATGTCACCAACGCAAAGCTCACCGACTGTACATAATCATAAAGCACCACACAAGCATCCATACAATCATACACGAAGCAAATAATAGATCATAAATTAGAACAATACACTAAACATATGAAATAAAAGTTGAAGAGTTTGAAACACGTTTCTACGCATCACTACGATCATATAGACGCGAAGATCACGCTAATCTGAGTTACAGGGATCAAATTATAACTATTCGAAGTTAAGAACAAAATGATCAAATTTTATTTCTAGAAACAATGGCTTACATGTTACTAATACGTAGATTATGAAAACACGAATCTAACACAACTTGAACGGGTCAAATCGGAGTTAAAATGAAGAAGATATGGCCTAATGAAGATAGTGGCAATTTTGTAAATATTTTGAAATCAAATTCGTATTAAAAATAATTAAAAACTGAATTAAAACAGTCCTGTGGACCATACATCATTTTTGGAAAACTGTAGGGGCTGAAACAAACAATCTAGGGGCATATGTTGAATTATTTTCAAAAGAGGCTGGACTGCGGGTTGATTACGCGAAACAGCAGGGGGCTAAGCACAAAAGTGTGGCGGTGGGTCAGGGGCGACCAGGTCAGCGGCGACGTGGCGTAAACCGGTTGGGTGGAGGTTGTGAACCGGCTATGGACCAAGAGGAAATTGTGCTAGTGGACCTAGTCTACTACTGTTGGGGTGGACCGGTTAAGGTGCAAAGGGGTATGTTCTAATCCTGATCGTTCCACCCAGATCGGACGGCTACCAAGGGTTGGGAGGGTTCCTCCTGGCGGCACAGTGTCTCCGGCGTGGTGGCTTCCATGGCTAGCGATGTAGAGCTCATTGGCGAGCATGAAAACGGTCCTAGAGACCACGGGAAAGCAAATCGGTAACACAGGGAGAACGAGGACGGAGAGGCGAACTCACCCAGGTAGTTTTTGTGGTCGGAGACAGCATGGAGGCGACGCAAGATGCGGTGGAGCTGATGGCGAGCATGGCGCCGCTAGGTTACGCGGCGACATAGTGATTCGGCGAGGTGGCTATGACTTCGAGGCTTGGGATGGGGAGGCACGGCCGTGGGTAGCTGTTATTTATGGCCCCAAGATGCTTGGGAGGCACGGCAGCGTCGAGGCATAGGCGGAGCGAACTTCTATGGTGCGGTGGAGTCCGACGCAACGACGAGCATGAGGTAAGAGAAGTGACTGACAACTGGGGCCTACCGGTCGGCGACCGAGAGAGAGGGAAAGGAGCGGCACGATGCTGGGCCGGCCTGGTGTGGGCCGCGGGGAATGAGGGGGAGCAGAGAAGGCCTGAGGGAAAGAAGGCTAGGCCGGCTGGGCCAAAAGGAGGGAGAGGAGAGGAAAATGTTTTTTCTTTTTCCTTTTCTATTTTGTTTTCAAAACCAAATTCAATCATAAACCAAATGCAATTCCAAATATAGTTTCAAATATACTTTTCAAGATGAGAACTTTTGGGAGATTTCCAAAACTGAACTTTTGCAAACTTTTAAAAACTCTTTTATTTTCCAATTCTCTTTTTATTTTATTTTAAAGCCATTTTCAAATTCATTTTCAAAAGCAATTTAAACCATTTTGAATTTTAATCAGAACCACTCAACCAATTAAATCAAATGCACCGGCATGTATGCACATCCATGTTGCTACTCCTTATAATGAATTCTAATATAATGAAAAATATTCTTTTTCCTATATTTTATGTGCACAAAAATTCATAAATTAATCATTTTAAACCTATTTTCAAAATTAAAATTTTTAGGGTGTTACAATTCTACCCCCCTTAAGATGAATCTCGTCCCCGAGATTCAGAAAACATCGACTAGGAGATAGGGATACTTCGTCTTTGGATTCTTCTTTACTTTCTCGTGTAGTTCCATCGTCTTGATAAGGATTCCACTTTACTTTACATACCTGTTGACCTTACTCCAAGTAACTTGCCCAACTGATTTCAAGATTCTAACAGATTCTTCAGACCATGCCTAGGTAACTCCAATCACTAGGCCACCTTTCCTATAATACCAATTCTCTTTCTTAAAATATCCACCTTCCAACGAAGCTTGACTAATATCTTGGTCAGAAAGAGAATCTATCACCAATCTTCAAAACATTAATGATTCCGGTTAAGTTACTCGAACTGGGAATACAATTCTTAGTTCTTGGTGTCACCCAAACCTTCTTAGCACAATTCTCCATTACTAAGACATCGGCCATAACTTTGCTCCTCGAAGTGATAGCACTTTTCCAAGTCATAATCAATTTTCATTCCAACGAGGATATCACAAGCTCAAGACCAACCTAGTGAAGATGTTCGGTAGATTCTTGTGATCCTCCTAGATGACACTTTTGCATCCAAGTAGACAGTATCTCCATGCTCCACAATAGATAACTACAGTTAACATGTTAGGTAGTTCAACTCACGCTTCCTTAGCTGACTTAATGGACAAGCCACTACTTTTCTTCTTGTATAAGGACACATCCCACACCTTGACAAGGTGCATCATTGTACATATATAGCTCTTGTCCTGATCTGACAAAGCTAATACATAGGTTTTACTTCAATTTCTTCTTGAACTCCTTCAAACACTTAGCTGAGGTCTCTTGATCCCAA